AGAAACTTAAAAAAAAATATATATAAATTATTTAAAACATTTTATATATATATATATATATATATATATATATATATATATATATTTATTATTATAATATGTATAATATATATATATATATATATTTATTATTATAATATGTAACCAGTAAACGAGTTTTTTTGCTGGGCTATTATTTTAGATATTCGATTAAACAAAATTTATGCAGTAAAATTCTCTCCATTCGTCCATTTTTGTTTACAAGTTGAGGGATTCTCTAATTAATTAATCCTCTAATTGAAGAGAATTTACTATATATATATTTTGTTTAATCGAATATCTAAAATAATAGTTCGGCAAAGAGATCGTTTATTGGTTACATCTTATTAAGACTTCAATCACCCGCCAAGAATCGTCTTCCTTTTTTACTCTTAATAAGTGACACAAAATTCTGACAAAATTACACGAGGTGGAGCTAAGATGCAGTTACAATTAAATTTTTGGTTCATTCGAATATCTCAGACAGTAACTGAGGCATGCACTCACACAAAGTTGTGAATGTTTATCTCTCGATAAAACCTAACCGTGCTTGAAAAATAATCTTTCTCTGATCTAAATGAATGAATGAAAATTTTTTAAAAATAAGTTCTTAGGAATTACGTCATGAATAATTGTTGCACTTACTATCTGTACGAGTATCCCATGTACACAGCTGCTGCGAAGAAAAGTATCAAAATGATGAACGGCGTGACGAAAATCGGAATAAGTGCAGCGACCACTCGATGATCTCGCAAAGAAGCGCCCGAGATACTTGTACTTATCACATGGATGTTCATACCTGTTCCAACAGAAAATAGCTACGTTGAAGCAATTAATTATTATGTGAATTTAACCAGAATTTAAGTTAACCAGAATCATGAATTTAACCAGGTAGCTGCTGCAGTTTCTTTGAAAAGTGTCAAGATATTGTAATCATACTGTATTCATCTGATTTTCTTCATATTTTGTTTAAATACAACACTTTTATAAAATATATAGTTAAACAAGGAATATCAATGTATACAGGGTGTCCCGTGTAACAGTAGCTTTTCGAACATATCCGACAGTCAGAGAAAAAAATATTCCAAACGAAAATTAATCAGTTTTCGATCAACTACAGATTGCAATATAAAACATTAAAAGACATATTTTATTGCAAAAAATCAAGATCACTTTCATTTATTTTGAATAGCATACTGTATTTGTTACGTCATATTATTGTAGCTCGAGTCAAGTCGAATTCGACTATCTGTTATATCATGACCTTCGGTTGACCTATATATGTATATATATATATATTTTTTAAATATTTTATATTGCAATCTGTAGCTGAACGAAAACTGATTAACTTTCGTTTGGAATATTTTTTTGTCAGACTGTCGGAAGTGCTTGAAAAATCGTGGCGACTGTTACGTGGGACACCCTGTATACTTTGATGTACTTTATTTAACTAAATATTTTATGGAACTGTTGTAGTTAAACAAATTATGAAGAAAATCAGACAATATATGTAATAATTATTATATAATAATATACATAATTATTATTATATGATAATATATATAATTACTGTTATATGATAATATATATAATTACTGTTATATATATATACTGGGTGGGGCATTTTAAATAGGTCACCTGAATAGCTCGCTTGTTTTTGAAAATAGGAGAAAATGCATCAGACCGTATATACATATATTATATTACATTTATGTGGGACACCCTGTATATCGTTCTTAACTAGTTCGACGGGTATACTCGTCATGAAGAAATGGCAAGATCTTGTACGACAAGCATGTATACTAGCTAACTGGTTAAAAATGCGGAAAAGCTCTAAGAGGATGTCCCGAATGAAAGATTCCCAAGGAATTGTTTTCGGTCGCAGGAGAAGATTGTAATAACGCCTACGAATCTGGATCATTTCTCGGAATGAAACGTTCCTATCGATTCCGCGAAGTCTACAATCGAGCACGTTTGTGCTCCACTTTCTGGAAAACACAATAACTTTCGTTTAATAGCCGCTAACTTATATCAGCGAACGGCGTCGCTGTTTCTGGAACCCATGGGAACGCTTCCAAAACTTTGATTCGCTCTCATCGTCGCTTCGACGTGTAATTCTACGTAACTTCGATGCCGTAGAGCATCATTCATAATCTGTGTTCACGTAAGAAAGTTCCGCAAGAAGTGTTGCATAAATTGCTGACGGTTACGCAAAAGTCTGAAGTCGCCGATCATCTACGATGAGATAATTTGTTGAATTATTACTTCGCTCGTTATTTAAGCATTTATCTACAGACCGTTCCATGTGATACTTCAATGACTTCGATGAACGTAAATTGTTACTTGAATAAACATATAGGGTGGTCCATCTAAACCAGGGGTGTCAAACTCGCGGCCCGAGATGAACATTTTTGATGTCAACTATCAGGACGTAAACAATAATTTCACTTTATATATGTTTATTACAATGTACTAGTCAGACTAAAAATATTTGTTTCTATGAACATTGATCTTTTTCTGCGGCCCACCTAAAGTTAAGCATTGTTTATTTATTATTATGACCCAAGTTAGCTTTTGAGTTTGACACCCCTGATCTAAACGTTTCCACCAAAATAACTGCTGCAATAATGATGTTACAGACAATTTTCTTATATGAAACTTGACTGGTATCGAGAGACGAATACGATGCAAAAAGTAGCTTTTTCTTCAAGGTCGTTCTTCTGGGAGCTACAAGGTTATCGGTTATTAATTTGTTCGCAAACGTATATTTTCTTATTATACCGTGTAGTTAATGTTAAATTACGCTTGCATGCATAATGACTTGACCTTGAAATAACCTTTCATTTCAGACACGAAATGCTCGAATAATAATGTTATGAAAAATTTTCTTATATGCCACTTGACTGAAAATGCCATATTCTTTATATCTTACACGCGAATTAAGTTCGATGACCTTGAAAACTCCGATAAAATGGCCTTGAAGAAGACAATATTTCTTGCTTCGAATTCGTTAATTGATATCAGTGAAATTCCATTTAGAAAAATATTTTGTACCATCACTGTTGAAAGAGATATTTAGAAGGAAAAGTTTAGATGGACCACCCTGTATGTATACTATTGTACATTATGTCTTACTTTTTCTTTGTAATTATCGCGTTGCATCATTATATACAACATATTATTATTTTTATCCATTCTCGTGTGATGGCTTTACAAAATCTCTTTTTTATACTTCTTGTCTTTGTAACATACTGTTTTTAACTTTGTGTATGAATAAAATAGTCCTTATTATTATAAAGTGTTCCCATGCTAAGAAGCAGAAGTTGGATAAAAATGTGTGTTTCCCATTAATAATAGCAATATAGGGTGTCCCAAAATTATTGTACAAGCGAGAAATGAGGGATTCCTGAGATCAATTGAAGAAACTTTTTCCGCAACGAAAATGAGATCCGCGGCTTCGTTTACGAGTTATTAATGAAAAACAGTGACCAATAAGAGGCGAGCACGACCAGCGCTCCACCCTTGCGGCCAGTACCACGTCGCGCTGGCCGTCTGACGCAGCGGCAGTGGTCGCGAGGGCGGGGCGTCAGCCATACGCGATCTCTTATTGGTCACCGTTTTCCGTTAATAACTCGTGAACGAGGCCGCGGATTGCATTTTCGCGATGGAAAAAGTTACTTCAAATGATCTGAGGAATTCCTCATTTCTCGCTTGTACAAAAATTTTGGGACACCCTTTCTCGCTTGTACAATAATTTTGGGATACCCTTTCTCGCTTGTACAATAATTTTGGGACACCCTTTCTCGCTCGTACAATAATTTTGGGACACCCGGTATACTGAAATAACGAAGGAATTTCTGAAGTATTGTTCGCTAGGTAGACCCTCGTAAACCAATATCTGGCACTCATAAAAGTCAAGAGACCAAAAAAATAAATAAATAAGAAACAATCGTGTCTTGCTTGGATTTCGCAACCCTATGTTTCAGGCTAAAACTTTAAAACGTACATCGATATATTTCAGAACGAAATATACTAAATAAATGAGTAACAGTTATGCAATATATGCACGCATAACTGAAAGTAAAATTCATAGTTTCAAATCACCGTTAACTTGTGTGGGATAATTCTATTTGCAAGTGCTCTTGTTCTTGGTCTTTAAAGGGATTAAGCTATTAGTTCTTAAGAAAGGAAAATCTATTAGCGGGCCAATGAAGCCAAGAAAGGTCGTGGGACATGCGATGTTGCTACAAGCATCATTATTTGCGGCCAAGGAATTTTACTTAGCAAGCCGTTTTTCATATTGTCCACCGCTTCCAGGGTATCGATTCCCGAATAGTCGCCTGTTTCCTTTATCAAAACTTCGATGCCACCAGCCCAGCTGCGTCTAACGTGCCACGCCACCCTCTTCGAGTATCCTTCGAGAATCTCGCTCGCTGCTGCACGCACCAGCGGCAAAGATGCTTTCTCAGATAAGGACAATCGTCCACCGCAGTACAGACAGCAGTGTCCTTCCACCTAAAACAATTTAGAACTTCTAACTTTTTTAGTGGGTACTAAAGATAGAGTTACTATCGTCAGCGTTATCGATAATTTCCGATAGTTTAGACGAACTATCGATGACTATCGATATTACTATCGATAGTTCTCTGTCTTCAGGAATACCATGAGAAATACGTATAACATACAGTTTCAGAAACATCAAAATTTCAAGATATCAAAGAGTTTGGATAATTATTAAAATTATTAAAATTACAGTGTATTCTTTTTATAAATATAATAAAAATAGGATAATTGAATACAGTGTAATAACTGTATTTACATTATAATATATTACAGTATAATATTATATTTTTTTAAATAAATATAATAAAAATAGAATAATTGAATACAGTGTAATAACTATATTTACATTATAACATATTACAGCATAACATATTTTTTTTAAGAAATATGATAAAAATGGAATATTAAAATGCAATATAATAAAAATGGAATAATTGAATACAGTGTAATAACTATATTTACATTATAATATATTACAGTATAACATTATATGTTTTTTAATAAATATAATATAAATGGAATAATAAAGGAAAAAGTTACTTCAAATGACCTGAGGGATCATCCCTTTCTAGGTGTTAACATAATTATGGGGCACCCTGTATATACTTACCATAAGCATTTTAATTCATTCGAAGATTTTAACTGCGACGGTTTTCATCGCATATATATATGTATAGTCCTTGCGGACAAAAGTTGAAACACTTCAAATGTCGTTAATATTTGAGTAAAATTTGATATTTTAACAAACAGAAGTGAAACATGTAACATATTATTTATGTTGCAATATTGTTTTATTTAGTGTATACGACAAATAAGAAAGATAATAAAAATAGAAAAAGAAGATAAAGAAACCTTTTTAAATGAAAAATATTAAAAGTAAGAAAAAATGAATTAATATTTATGTTGACACAATAGAAATCTTAATCATATGCTAAGAAGTTTTACTACAACAAGAATATGTATCTGTGTAACATGTCTCATAATTTTTGTCTGTAAGAGTATTTACCACGTAAGACTTAGTTAACACTAGATTTACCGAGCACACACAAAAAACAGCTGTTCTATATTAGTTTATAAAAGTAACGATAAGACATTTATTCTGATGTTTAACCAGTGTGATCGTAACATTTGCCCTAGTAAATAACACATAAATTGAATAAATAACTCATAAAATGTATCTTGACGATACGAATAATCGTAAATTAAAACATTAGTGACCCGCCATTTTCACGTATTCGATAAATCTAGTGTTAATAATAAAAGACACACTTACTTTCAATGGAAATTCACACTGAGTAAAACCACATTTCGGCCTCTCAATGGCACAAATCTCCTCCAAATAGTATCCATCCGGATCATTCTGGCACGGACACTTATCGCAACTGTAATCTGCATACCTGAATACAGTAAATGAATTGTTCAATAACTGTTCTGCAATAACATAGCATTTCGAAGTTATCAGATAGTAATTACTCCACAGTGAATAATCCTTTATCGAACTCCCGGTTGTTCTCCATCCTCGCCCACTGCGTTATTCCGATGGAGTAATTCTCGCCAGCCAATTTGACGGATCTCACTTGGATATCCTTCATTGGCAAAAGTATGCTGAAGGTGCGTTGTCTGCTAGGCAGCACGATGTCGTCCTGACGGCAAGGGACTTGCTCCAGATGAGGAGCAGCTTGGGAACTGCCCTTCCAGTTGTTAGGATTGGCCCAGAAGAAATGGCCCTCCTTTGCCCATCGACTGATCCTTCTTGGAGAATTCCCTAAATCGCTTAGCTGCGAAACTCGTTCGTTAGTTTTCAAATTTAACCAGTTAGCAGTTTCTGACGAGTATACTCGTCATAGAGAAATGGTAGTATTTCGTGTTACGACGAGTATACTCGTCATAAAGGAATGGCAATATTTCGTGCTACGAGTATACTCGTTCTGAAGAAATGGTAATATCTTGTGTTACGACGGTTATACTCGTCATAAAGAAATGACAATATTTTGTTTTATGACGAGTATACTCGATCTGAAGAAAAGAAACTAACACAAAAATCTTGTGTTACGACAAATATACTCGTTATAAAGAAATAGCAGTAATTGATTTCATGAAAAACTCGTAATTTTGAGTTATGATGAGTATACCTATCATGAAGAAATGATATTATTTTATGTTATGACGAGCACACTCGTCACCAAGAAATGGCGATATTTTGTGCTATCACGAGTATACTCGTCATAAAGAAATGGTAGTATTTCGTGCTATGACGAGTATACTCGTCATAAATGAATGGCAATATTTCGTGCTACGAGTATACTCGTTCTGAAGAAATGGTAATATCTTGTGTTACGACGGTTATACTCGTCATAAAGAAATGACAATATTTTGTTTTATGACGAGTATACTCGATCTGAAGAAATGGTAATATCTTGTGTTATGACAAATATACTCGTTATAAAGTAATAGCAGTAATTGATTTCATGAAAAACTCGTAATTTTGAGTTTTGACGAGTATACTCGTCACGAAGAAATGGCGATATTTTGAGTAATGATGAGTATACCCATCATGAAGAAATGATTATAATTCGTGTTATGACGAGCATACTCGTCAAAAAGGAGTGGCAATATCTCGTGCTATGACGAGTATAATCGTCATAAAGAAATGGCAATATTTCGTGTTAAGACGAGTATACTCGTCATAAAGAAATGCCAATATTTCATGTTACGACGAGTATACGCGTTCTGAGGAAATGGTAATATCTTGTGTTACGGCGCATATACTCGTCATAAAGGAATGATAACATTTTGTTTTATGACATAACATTTTTCGGATTTACTAATTTGTCTTATGAAAAATGGTACATATTCTCGTTAAAATTTTATTTAAAATATCAACAAACTTGTGAATTTTTAAGTAGTGTTATCTACGAATTTGTAACTAGTTACTAGTTACTAATTACTGAATGATTTTATACATTTACAATAAAAATGAGTAGATGAAAATAATCCTAATATTCAAGGAATTTGAGGATATCGACATATTGTTTTAAACTACTTGAAATTATTATGTGTAGAAATTTCTGTGTCT